ACATATCTGGTGGAAGTTCTATGTAAGCAGCACACTGATCTGAGGTTTGTCAGGTGGAGCTCTCTTAAAGAGGTTTCCTACAGTCATTGCTAAATTTGCACATTCTGAGCCACTGCTATGGTTTAAAGTTTGTCAGCCCTCAGGGGCCCCCTAATGGCCTGGGGCCCCAAGCAGTTGCCTGCCTTGCCTGTAAACAAGCAGCACCTCTGGGTGGAGGCAAGGATAAATAAAAAAATCCCACAATGTTGTGTACTGCCATTAAACATGGACATTTTTTTAGAGGACTGCAGGTAAACACAGGCTGACAATTAATTCAGACGTCACAACTACTAATACAGAGAAAAACAGATGAGTCATATCTCACCCTCATCTTCACCTGTACAACAGGTAATAAAGAGAGCAGCATTCCTTCCTTCCTTCCCTATCCTACCTGTATGAGATAGCTTTTTCTGCAGTTTCCTCAACCAATACAGAATACAGATCAAAGCTGGACTGAAAACAGACTGAGAGTGGTGGATTCAGCTGCACGGTTTTTTGTCGATGTGATGTGTATGGGGATATATATACTGTATATATATGTATATATATATATACTGTATATATATTTTTTTTTTTTTTGATGGAACTCTGTACTTGCTGTCAGTCAGACTGATATGTAAGGTGTATTATTATTATTGAAAAAAACAATAAAAATAACTGTAAAAATGATATTTGCTGATGTATTGGAACAGAGTTGTCAAAAGAAAAATAAATACTCACATATTTCTTCACGTACACCAAAGATGTCATTACCTGTTCATGAAACACGCACACAAAAAACACATTATTCATGCCTGTATACCTGATTAAAGGAGCGTAATAGTAAAAAAAAGAAGTACTCACAGATTTGTATAAGCAAACTAAAAAAGAGGTAATTACCTGTTATTGAAACAAAAATAAAAATAAATAAATAAACAATCTTATTTAAATGCACACCTTTATTGTATTTAATCGAAAAAAGTTACGTGAATAAAAATAGGAAAAAATAACTTACAAAATCCTGCCATGTCAGCTTTGGAGACGACTGTCTTCTGCGTAACAATGTGAGCCAGCCACCTTATTATATGTACAAGATGTGGGAAAGTGGGTGAGGCAACAGGTGTATGCATTGCCTCCTTGTGAGGACAACCACCAGATTCATTTCTGAGAAACTGAAACTTCTTTACAAATCAGAGCAATAACATCTATTTTTTTTAAACTAAAGAGCCCCTTTAAATCCATGTATACTTTGATTTAATTTAATTTGTCTTCATTTTATTTTTGTACAGGCCTACTTTTTTTAAACAGATGAAAAACTTGAATGAATTTAAAGAGATAGTAGGTATAATATTTCGGTAGAAACTGTAATGGAACCAGATGCAGAACAAACTGAAGTCCCCCCTCCCAGTTAACCCCTGCATCAAACAACTGCTCACAGCTTAACAACATCCTGTAGGTTTAACACTGACCAGGAACCAGGACATTTCCTTTTGACTCTTGTGTTTACATTATTAGACTGTAAATTACGATTGAGTTCTCAGACATTTCGTCTCTGAATAAGGAACAAACACTTCCACAGATAACTTGCATCCTGGGAGAGAGCCTCAAGATGAGGCACGGAAGAGGATTAGGACCACTGATTAGGACTTTCTTTTTTCAGTTCTGACTTTAATCTCAGAATTCTGAGATTAAAGTCAGAATCCTAAAAAAAAATAAAAAAAATAAAAAAAAAGTGAGACATCGTTTTAACCAGTTGATTCTGAAAGTATTAATAGTATCTGCAAAATCTAGGACTTCTAGGCCACCTTCTGCTTTACTGTTAGAAAGTTCCACTTTTATGTGGTTCGTTCTTCCATATAAAATCTAGAAAACTCCTGACTGAGATGGAGCTTCGTGTTAGTTCAGGCAGGCCACGGAGTCATGCTCTGTTATCATGCCAGAGTTTCGGTAACAGCTGATCTCACGCAGCAGCATCAGCTGATGGGCAGCTGATTTGCTTCGAAGCGTCTTATTGGCCAAATAGTACATATGAAGCCTTATTTAAACTGCTCTAGCCTGCCTATTTTTGATGCTCCCTCTGCAAGCTGCATTTGCAAGCTCCGTGACAAACGCCAAAGCCGTCGGTAAACACTCTTCTTCTTACTCCTTATGTCGCTAGAGATGGCTGATGGCTTTGTTGAAGCTTCAACACTCGATTAAAAAAATGGTTCATTACTCGAGGCTTTCAGTGACACAGTGCTCGAGTAGACTATCTAGTGGTCAATAAAATGAAGTGCAACCGAGATGTGTTATTTACTACAGTCTATTATTTATTGGTTCATGGATTGTTTGGGATTTGATCCGCTATGCACATTCCTGTTCGACTGCACTAAATGGTTGTATGGTTTCAAGCTGACACAATAAAATATAAAATAAAAATGAACTCATGTTGAAGACAATGTTTCTGATTTGGCACGTCTGATTATAGTAGCCTATAGCTTTATACTTAGCCTGACATTTTGTGCTATAAATCATATCCTTCTATCCTAAAACAAGTCTAAATAGCCCATAGCTTAGAAGATGTTGAATAGTGAGTGTTCAGTAGGCTCCATGTAAAATGTGATTCTCGTTTGAAATGTTTAAATGATGAGCTATAACTCTCGGCAAAGCCAGGAATCGAACCCTCGCTGCATTATAGAAAGCCACTGGTTTTCACTATGCACCACAAATCGCAAATACATTCCTCCCCGGTTGTTTCACTTTTTTGACTATGGCTACTACACTCCATGATACTTCATCAACTCCCACCAATGTGCATGTTACAGCGCTTACATCAACTGTTTTCCTTTTCTCAGAGTATCATGGTTTAATGTTATAGATTCTGAATGCACCACTGTCAAACCAAATCTCTGTCAGTCTCTATTTACTTCGAAAGGTCAACTCAGCTCTCCCTACTAGCCGACACAGCTAAACCAGTAACAGGGGCCCTTTCCAAACAGCCACAGTTCAGTAGGCAGTACGTACTTCTCAGGAGGGAGTTTCAGTAGACTGAACTTTCGTGGTCATTCAGTGTGCATTTTTTGGGTCCACCTCAGTATACTGAACAGTATGGATACTAACTTCCGGGTTTCATGCAGTATGGATCGGATGCATCCTTTCAGGAAATGAATTGTATTTTACCCACAATGCTGTGCGAAATTAAACTTAAATCATCACTTCACGTGCACCTCCAAATCAAAACAAACCAGCATGACTTAATTGAGTACATTTTTAATCTAGAGTTAAAGTCCCGACTGAAATCACTACTTTTAATTAATAACTCAAAAATGTAACAAATGTCTGCATTATTATAAAACCTTTCTCCCTCTATTTAAATAATGATTTCACTATTTAAATGTGTCTTTATTGGTTTATTTTACTTTATATTCTGTATATTACTGTCTTTCATTTGTACTTTCCTTTGTGAACTGTATGTTATTTAGTTATTTAATCCGTCTTTTACTTGTGATATATATATATATATATATATTTGTGACATCCTGACCACAGATGTATATTTATCAGATTAAAGAGAGCATGGCATAACGTAGCAGACTCTCTGATCTGTATGGAAAGTCAGCAGCAGATGAACAACAGGTATAGAACTAGATCAGTCACAGTAACAACACATGCACACAGAACAATTCACAAATACATTTTAGGATTTCTATGTTAATGTGTGCTTGAGACCAAAACTGTTTTCTGCAGCTCTGCAGTAAAAAGGGTCATTTTGACATGCAGCCTAATGGGGATTTGTTTTAAGTTTTGGAGCCAGCCTCTAGTGGACACTCAGGGAACTAAAGCTCAGTCGGGACCACTTTGTCAAAACTTTGATTTAATTATTTAGATTTGGTGGTACGGCTCTGTGAGGGATCTCCCTGCCGTTCCACGTGCTTACTTGGAAAGCATTGGGCAGGAATAGCACACATTACTGCCCTTCCTGTGCATACAAGGAAAGCTATAAGGCAGGGAGATCAGCAGCAAACCCCCAAAACAACCATACCAGGCAAACCTCCCTGGCATTCCAAGGACTATGGAAGAGCCAGCAGGAGCAGATGAAGTACAAGTTAAAGTGAAAGAAAAACATGAGTGTTTGCTAACTACATTCGGGAAAGCCTAAAGAGTTAATGGAACCAATCATATGCTGAAACAGTTATTTAAAGCGCACTCAGCTTTTTGAGCATCTAAAATAGCTTGAGACTCGGGGTGGAGATAACGTTTAATGATGACCAACAGCCCATAACTTTGAGTGTCGACACAGGTGCTTTGTATGAAGTGGTTCTACTGGTTCTATTCGAATGGAGTGACAGACGAGGACAGTTAATGATGAATGGACTTAAGCTTGCAAAGTGCTTTTCTTCACACATTGCTGGCCGAGGCTGCAATGTGAAGTGTCCATCAGTATTAACTAATCCCATTACACACCATTCAAACGCAGCAGCTAGAGCAACTTGGGGTTCAGTGTCTTGCCCAAGGACACTTCAACATGTGCCTGAAGGAATGACTTCCATTTTAAAGGACTTTCGAAGTCCTTTAAAATGGAAACTTTTTTTGACTTATTGTAATTTGTTATGTTTTGCCATTAACAACTTTCTCTCAAACAGAGTTAAAAAAAATACTTAAGATGTTATCCAAGGACGCTTCAACATGTGCCTGAAGTTTGACACCAAGTCAAACTTGACTGTTAAGTTTGATTTGGTGTTTGCCAATCAAGGTAAATGTCTTCCCATCAGGGGGAGGAATTTACCTTGACTTTTACCTTGACCAGACAATTATGGCCTGGCTTTTTTAAATTTTCATTTGAGAAAGACTTGGCCAGTCGCTCTGGTATCTTAGTACCTTGCACAAATTATTTGCTCCTGCTATTCATTAAAATTCTTGACTGGTAAAAAAGATAAACCTCTTTTAAATTTGGCAAAGAAATGAAAACAAATTTGGTAGAGGAAAAAAGGGAAAGAGACTTGTTTTAAAGCAGCCATCTTTACTTTAGTCTGGAAACAGAAAAATTTGATTGCATAACAGTCCACGGTGCTCTTTTTGCCCAGAACTAGCCAGATTCCAAATGTGAGCAAATAATTCAAACTTGCCTCACACTCACACACAATCAACAACAGGAAAGCAACAATAATGAGCCAACTCATTTCAAAATAAACACACAGGCAACGACAAGGGAGACAGCAAACTTTTGGCACTTCAGCAACAAGAAGCAGAAATTAATTTTGAACACACTAAAAACATTAATATATAAATAATTTGTAGTACATAATAGTAACATCATACATTTTAAAGTAAATATAAATTCAATTATATTACTATTTTACCAATTGAGCTATCTTAAAATACATTCATATACATCAGTGCAACAACTACATTTACAACATAAATTTGCCAACAACATGCAAGACTGACAAAGTAGTCCATAACTAGCAAGTAAAAGGCACCAGTTTCAAATAGTCACAGATAAGCAGTAAAGTGATCACAGTTATGAATCTGAATAAAAAGTGATGCCTTCAGTTGATCTGTGTGACTTCTCATATGCTAACCCAGACTTCCAGACTTTGACTACTGATTTCCTCGGTAACTTGCCCATTTGAATTGATATCATATTGTATTTTTCCAGGGAATATGGCAAAATGGTCCAATTAGAATATGAAAATTTTCAAACTGGCAACACAAACATGTTCTACCTAATTCCAATAAAAGAGCTTTCAAGTCCAGAAGAAAGCTTTAGTAAACGTTTTCTAAAGTATAAGTGAAGTCATGGTTAGAACTTAGTAGGTGTTTTAAAATGGTTTAGAATTGGATGTTTTGAGCTTTATGAACTGATAAAGAAACAAAACATGTATAAAATACCCCTCTGAACTCAAATATCATTAATCGGCAGAAATAATTAATATACAGTTAAAGTGACATCACATGGCTATAATATCATATAGGCCTACACGTATTGCATCATTTGGGGTTTTCTTACTTTTCAACCCATGTCAGGACACTTTTATGGTTTGAAATACTCTTCTTATATCCTCTGCTGCTAAAAGCCAGAATGAAATGTCCCTTTGGGCTCCTGTACTTCTGCACAGACGCATCCAGTCTATTTGGTTTCTGAAGACGTCTCTCTGTCTTTAATTCCTGTCTTGGTGATTCTCTGAGCTATCCCATAGGGCACGTGGCATGCTACTGTCCCCATTTCTGCAGCACCCTCCACATGAAACATCTGGTCATCAAAAAAAATGTGCGGCCTGATCTTCTCAAGCATGGGGCCTTTGGGTGCCCCTGCCAGAAACAGAGCCTCGTCAATTTCCAGACCCCAAGAGCGCAGAGTTTTTAGGGCTCTGGTACCAGAACTGGCTGCGCTGCGAGCTGTCACCAAGTAGGTCCGGATAGGGCAGTCCATGCGCTGGCCTTTGCCATAAAACTTTTTTTGCAGCTTTCCCAAAGCCTCCAAGAATCCTTTCAGTGGTCCCTGCAGAAAGTAGAGCAAGAAAATTAGCTCACAATCTCCAAATCTTAATTTATATAAGGTTCATTGGTTATAAAATCTACATAAATATATGAATCTCCTTACAAAGTTAATGATAAACTGTGCTTTAAATACAGAGTTTGCAGCTGCTTTTTTTTATAGTTAGTAGATGTGGAGGAAAATATAGATACCGTTATTTGGCCAAAGAATAGTTTGACAGAGGGATAAAAGAAGAAGAAGACAGCGGGATAATGTGTAAAAGTTTTCCTGCTCAATAATGTGATGTTTTTGGCATTTTAGGTATGCTTATTTCCTGTTTTGATTTTTAATTTTTTTCTTTAGTTTTACATACTGTATTAATCCCTTAGGGAAATTCTGGTTTACACTTTATTGAGAAACACACATGCACAAACAGGACCTGTGGACATGCATTGGTGGAGAGATGTCTCAGGAAGTGACCTGGCGCCTCTCCAGCAACCAGACCACTTCCATATTTTTGTCCGCACCAGGACTTGAATGGCTACCCTCCCGTTTCCAACCCAAGTCCCCACAGACTGAGCTACTGTCGTCCCAAGTTGAAGTTGTCTGGTCAGTATTTCTTGGCTGGTCACTTTTTGAAGTAAATATCAACATGTGTGCCCCATTTACAAGTGACCTTTGGGCTACAATTTTGTCATATTTAATGCTAAATGATGGTCAAAAAAAATCAAAAATCAAAACTAAGTTGTAGCACACCAGAACTCCAACTTGGGTTTTGAATGGATCCTAAATGCACTGAAGTCATGATGTCACTGTGTGTACACTGTACATGGTCAAGAGGCTTGTTCTCGTGCGCTTTCTCGTGCTCGAAGAACTTGTCCAGTCCATGGGCTTTGTAAATTTGCTCCGACTCATCAGAGAAGAGGACGGCATCTCCATCGAAGGCAACACGCAGCTGAGTCTCTGACACTTCTGTGATCTTCTCCTGGGTGAACATGGTGGCTGCTGCAATACCTGCATGTAGCATTACAAATCAAGTTTTTGTATGTTCATTATACATAACAGTAGCATTTTTAGACTAGTGCAACATCTTCTTAGTACCATGTACCTTCCTCCAGAGCTTCTCGAACCTTGATTGGATCAGCAGACAGGTAAAGGTTAGTGTGGTAGGCCTTTAAATATCCTATTGGACTGTTTCCGCCTGTCATGCAGAAACGCTCGATGAACAACTCTGCAAAGAGGAGAATTACAAAGTTTAGAGTATCATGAAATTGAAATGTGTCAATACTGCCTCTTCGTGGATTGTGGCTGTATAGGAGATATATCAAGAAAAAGGAAGTGAAAAACCCCCAGAGTGTCATGAAAGAAAATAGCCTGAGATCTTGGCTCAGTCAGTGCAGATTTTTCCACTTGGTTTCCCTACATCAGTGGGCGCTTGGTGTTAGACTGCCAAACCCCCTGCAAGGAGAAAAAAACGCAGATCCCCAACTCCCACCCCTTTTTCCCTGGGGTCATATGTGGTGTGTTGACCATGAGAAAGATCCCACTATTTACAACTGTGAGTCCCTTTTATGATTAAAAAAAAGACCCTGATTTTTATCATACCAGGATAACACAAGTCGCTGAAGTATTTAATTGATCTCTATTTGAAAAATATTTGGACTCTATTTAACAGCATCTTTTCGGATATTGTTTTCAAACAAATAGTTCAATTCTAGATGTTTTGTCGTTGTCTTTTAAAAATAGATTCTGTGTCATTGTGTGTCCTTGACATGATAAAGATAAACTTCTCCCGCATGCCCTCCCTCCTCCCCCCTTGTCAATACTAATATTAAATAGCTTCTAGACAATTACATTTTTCTTTGTAATTCTTCCTATTATGAAACACAAGAAGTATTTTGTGATATTTAAGTGGATTGTATGTACATGTTATTATTTTATTGTCTGTGTGACCTTTGGCACTTTCCTGGGAAGGACACTGGGTCACAAGGTCTCACAGTGCGGGAGTGGAGAGGACCAGCTGTGAGGACCAGAGCAGCTACAATCCACACAGTGACGGCACATTGCTTGATTCAAGACCACCCACAGTGAATGAGTGAGTGTCTCATTCTAGGGAAGTGAAGTAGGTCTTGCTAATTTTTTTCAGGAGAAAACCCAAATTCTTTAAAGTCTGTGCTACATCAACAATTAAATGTTCAATAAATTAGACTAACTGAACTGTGCCAACAAACCCCATGAAACAACCAAAATAATGCTGAGAACTGTCAACCACCCCAAGACCTTTCATTACTACTGAAGATGTAGGCCTAGGTCAATAATATATATGATCAGTCTTTTCATATCTTTGCATTTACCTCGGATCTCGGAGTTGGGAGTGACGTCACACCCGAGTTACCTGAGTTCCAGTTACAAATTGGTGACAAGTCGAATAAGTAACATGGACGTACCTTTGTTTTGTTAGCTAATACCTGTCGATAACAAACCCATTATGTGATAGTTTGTGCGCAAAAATAATGTGGCAACATGTCCTCAGATAGAACTTGCACAATACTATACTATCGGTGTGATTGATTTAATTACATAAAAAGAGGACTATTATGCTAAACACAATAGGTACATCTTAAACGTTATTGTTTGTGCATGTAGCAGCCATGTTGGATTTTAACTTGGGCTACTGAAGGTTCTCCGAGTTCCCAAGTCAGAATTCCAACTTCAGGGGCATTCCTGATGAAGTTTTAGACCGGCAACTCTGAATGTCTGACTTCTGAGATCAAATGGAACTCACCTACAAAATACTTCTGTTTACTTCCTATATAGAGTCTCTTGCTATTATCCACCTTTCCACTAGATGCCCTTGTACGTTCTCCCCGGTCACACACCTGTTACCAGTTATAATCTGGCATGAGGTAAACCCCACATGCTCACCTGTGTCCATTCAGCCACCAGCTTCTCTCATTCTATGCTGAACCTTTCCATTGGTTAGTCAGCACCCTTGTTGTGCTTTGCTGCTTTCTTGTTTTGTATTTTCTCTTTGCTGTTGGACCAATAAAGTTTGGTGGTACCACTTTCAACGATGCTTTAATATTTCATAAATGCTCTAAAAAGTTTTTTTGAAAGAGCAGGGGCTGCAGCTGAAAGAACAAGCCTAAAACTGCCATACACACAACATAAGAATATAGGCTAAATCTGAGCAACAGGTTAAATGAATACCCCATCAATGCCCTAGTTCACCTCCATTTGAGCATTTACAGTCTGTGGTTATTTGCCAGCTATCTAGCTGACGCTATATTGCTTTTGGCCTGTATAATGTTTTTAGTTTATTAAGTCCCTAACTTGTGTTTTTTTTCCATCTAGATGGTAATTTTTGGAAATATACATATTTTTTGTATATTATATTATATACTTTTTAATGCTGTAACGTTTCCTCTACTATGACCTGCCATAGCTGTTTATTTATTGACTGCTCTTTTTGGAAGTGCTTGTGGCGACCAAATATTGACTAAAGAAGGTTTTTTTTTTTTTTACTTGTGATCTATCATGTTTCTGTTATTGATCATGTTTAAGCCTTTGGGCTTTAAGTTGGATTCACAACTTTTCTGTTTATTTATTCTGATCTGATCTGATCTGATGAAGGTGGTTGGTTGCAGACTTGCAGCAACTCCCTATTCAAGATGTATAATTTAAAAACATCATTAATGGATATCTATTCACATTTTCATAATTCCAGACTCTGAAGTATGAAATATTTTTTTTAAATCAGTCAAACCATCTGAAAATGAAGCCATTGACTTGATTGCCAAGAGTGTTGAATGCTGCAGATGATGCAAGCAGCTCGATAGCTTAGCCTATAGCACAAAGTTTGGAATAAAGGTCAAACAGCTAGCTACGCTATATTCAAGTGCAACAAAGTTTGCCAATGAGCCCATGAAGCTCACTTATTGACACGATAAACAATGATGAAGTAAACATCATGAGTTGCATGGGTTTTCTAATCGTGCTCTTAGCAGGTTAGAATATAAGCGCATTTTCCAAATTGTAGAACTACTACTACTTAATTTCTTTAAAGACATTTAGAAACTACAAATCTTTTGAAATGTCCACTTTTCATTAGCCAACATTTGTTTCAAATGATTTATCTGACTTGAGACGTTTAACATTTTTTCACCTTATAGTTTTTGTTATTGGTGAAATTTGCTGATGCTCTTATTTTAAGAAGATTTAGCAGCGTGGGCTAAAGGCTACACCAGACAAAGTGTGTTACACAAACAAGCCGTTGTCTTTAGTGTGTTTCAGTTACTCACGGTGATGATTGATGGTATTGATGAGTCTTAGGCCGACGTATGCGTGGTTGTTGGTCATGAGCACGACATCAAAAAGCTCCTCGCTTTCAGGGTAAAGCTCCCTCAGCCCTCAGCTGAGTGTTCACAGCCTCCAGAGCCTGGCAACACGACAAACAATGGTTTTATGTTAAAAACGAAGAAACGAAACAAAATCACTGCAGTGGGCTGGAAGCATGCGTT